TCTTCATGGTCATAAGATGCCGCAGCCGCATTATCACAGTTTCCCTAGCAAGACGATCTCTAAATAGACTTAGTAAGGCTATAATTACTTCCTATTTCCTCCGCTTGCAAGAGCCGTGTAGGATCATGTCAAAGGAAGTGAAAACAATGCTTGAAGCCCTAACAAGTCGTGATCTTCGACATAACCAATGTCGGTCAGAAACTGATCCAAATCGTCTGCTGGAGTCAACCAGAACGCCTGAAAAGCCAGGCTGGCTTTCAACGTGTCTGACATACGACTCCCGCCCTGAAATAGTAATTTCGCCACACGAAGGTGAGATTTCCGCATAGCCCACATCAGTGGCGTGTAGCCATCCCGGTCTTGTGAATTGATGTCCACCATAGTGTTCGCAAGGAGTAAATGCACAATAGCTACATGCCCTTTACTAGCAGCCCATGAAAGCGTTGTACGGCCGTTCTTATCACAAGAATCTGGATCCAAGGTCGCTTGGGACAAAAGCAGACGAACCGCATCCTCGTGGCCCCCTCTCGCGGCCCATATAATTGGTGTGGCACCCTCAACATCCTTGGAATTTACGTTAACGCCATACGCATGGATCTCATTTGCTGCATTGCCTTTATCGATTGGTACAATAAGTGAATCTGTTGTTTGCTGGTAAACATCCGCGGACTGCCCGTTGTCAGAGGTACAATCTGGCGGCGTCCCTGTGTCGTTGCGCGTTGCCATAACGTCCGTTCGCAAGTCGAGAAAAGTTCTGAGGACAGAGTTTTGACCGTACTCAGCCGCCCACGACAGCGGCGATCGACCGTGCTCGTCTCTCGAATCGACATCGACCTTTCCTGAGTTGATGATTGTCTCGACAACTGCTTGATAACCTCCGCATGAAGCAGCTTGGAGAGCGTTGCAAATGTCTGCTCCCTTGTCGAGGAGTATCTGGACGATCTCTTGGTGGCCTCCTGATGAAGCGCCCTGGAGAGCGTTGCCGAAGGGGCCGCCCTGGGTGTTGACATCTGCTCCGTTGTCAAGAAGCATCTGGACGATCTCTTGGTGGCCTCCGTATGAAGCACCTTGGAGAGCGTTGCCGAAGTTGCCGCCCTGGGCGTTGACGTCTGCTCCCTTGTCAAGGAGTATCTGGACGATCTCTTTGCGACCTCCGTATGAAGCAGCTTGGAGAGCGTTGCCGAAGTTGCCGCCCTGGGCGTTGACGTCTGCTCCCTTGTCAAGGAGTATCTGGACGATCTCTTTGCGACCTCCGTATGAAGCAGCTTGGAGAGCGTTGCCGAAGTTGCCGCCCTGGGCGTTGACGTCTGCTCCCTTGCCAAGGAGTATCTGGACGATCTCTTGGTGGCCTCCGTATGAAGCACCTTGGAGAGCGTTGCCGAAGTTGCCGCCCTGGGCGTTGACGTCTGCTCCCTTGCCAAGGAGTATCTGGACGATCTCTTGGTGGCCTCCTGATGAAGCAGCTTGGAGAGCGTTGCCGAAATCGCCGCCCTGGGCGTTGACGTCTGCTCCCTTGCCAAGGAGTATCTGGACGATCTCTTGGTGGCCTCCTGATGAAGCAGCTTGGAGAGCGTTGCCGTACTCGCCGCCCTGGGCGTTGACGTCTGCTCCATTATCAAGGAGTATCTGGACGATCTCTTGGTGGCCTCCCCGTGAAGCGCCCTGGAGAGCGTTGCCGGTGTCTGCTCCGTTGTCAAGAAACATCTGGACGATCTCTTGGTGGCCTCCAAATGAAGCGGCTTGGAGAGCGTTGCCGAAGTTGCCGCCCTGGGTGTTGACGTCTGCTCCCTTGCCAAGGAGTATCTGGACGATCTCCTTGTGGCCCCTATCTGAAGCAGCATAAAGAGCGTTGCCGAAGTTGCCGCCCTGAGCATTGACATCTGCTCCCTTGTCAAGAAGCATCTGGACGATCTCTTTGTGGCCTTCCCGTGAAGCGTCTTGGAGAGCGTTGCCGAAGGGGCCGCCCTGAGCATTGACATCTGCTCCCTTGTCAAGGAGTATCTGGACGATCTCTTGGTGGCCTCTATATGAAGCACCTTGGAGAGCGTCGCCGAAGTCGCCGCCCTGGGCGTTGACGTCTGCTCCCTTGTTGAGAAGTATCTGGACGATCTCTTCGTCACCTCCGTATGAAGCGCCCTGGAGAGCGTTGCCGGTGTCTGCTCCGTTGTCAAGAAGCATCTGGACGATCTCTTTGCGACCTCCGTATGAAGCACCTTGGAGAGCGTTGCCGTACTCGCCGCCCTGGGCGTTGACGTCTGCTCCCTTGTCGAGAAGCATCTGGACGATCTCTTTGCGACCTCCGTATGAAGCAGCTTGGAGAGCGTTGCCGAAGTTGCCGCCCTGGGCGTTGACGTCTGCTCCCTTGTCGAGAAGCATCTGGACGATCTCTTTGCGACCTCCGTATGAAGCAGCTTGGAGAGCGTTGCCGAAGTTGCCGCCCTGGGCGTTGACGTCTGCTCCCTTGCTAAGGAGTATCTGGACGATCTCTTGGTGGCCTCCTGATGAAGCAGCTTGGATAGCGTTGCCGAAGTTGCCGCCCTGGGCGTTGACGTCTGCTCCCTTGTCGAGAAGCATCTGGACGATCTCTTTGCGACCTCCGTATGAAGCAGCTTGGAGAGTGTTGCCGTACCTGCCGCCCTGAGCGTTGACGTATGCCCCGTTTTTCAACAACTCCTCTACTGCACACACGACCCCTCCATATGCCACATAGTATAACACCGGAGCCATGGATTTGTCAAACTCTTCTGGCTCTTCCCATGGCCTATCTGGGTTGAAGAGACCGTAGCACGTTTTGGGAGAATCTTTGTCCAGGCAAAATTCTTTAATGAGATGAAGAACCCTGTTGGTCTCGGCTTGGAGAGCATGGCTCATCCAGTAACGTGCAGCGTACTGTGCGAGTGGGTATGAATGTCTAACTCTCAATGGCAGAAGGTCTTGTTCCAGCTCCAAGAGGTACGCAAGACAGACTTCTGCAATAGAGGCTCTGGCTAGTGGCTCTCTGAAGGTTTCGGAGATGTTTTGCTCTAGTCGGCCGGATACTAGATATTCTTTAACAGAGAAATGCGCAAGCTGTAGCTCTTTTACCTCATTCCCTTTGACATTACCGCCTCGAGTAACAACAACCACTAAACTTGAACAGTAGATAGATATCTCGTCTGGTTGTGGCATTCTATTCTCAACATTAAACCTGGGCTTGCTTTCTGTGTCTACAGTAATTACGTCGACAGCTTCTTCGATTCGTAGAGGTCTTTCGGAGAATGTTAGAAATTGTAATATTCTCTTAGCATTCCGCTCGAACTCGGGCGGTATCGTGCTTAGGACTCGCGCGTACGTCTCGTCCAGCGTGATTGGTAGTGATTGTAGCGTTTGCCGAAGACTGAGCGGATCAGGGCATTTTGCGAGAGCGTCAAGTTGGCATGAAACCCAGCGGAACCTGTGTTGTAACTTAGCAACAGATGTTGAAGAGATTGTTTTTGCCTTACATTCCGTTAGCTTTCTCCATCAGGTGGCTTTCGATCTCATTTAGGATTGTTTCACGCGCTCGCCACCTCTTAAATCCTTCGTGTTGCCTCACTGTTCCATGAACATACGCACGTATGTCTTCTGTGACAAGGTCGCTCTGGAGAGGGATCTGGTTATTGACACATCTTTCCAATGTTGATTTGATATCGTGTTCAGGGCGACTCGTCACAAGAAGGTGCGCATTCACTTGCGGTAAGTTTGAAAGACTCTCAATCCAGTGTAACAAACTTTCGTTCTTTGGGCCTGTCCTCGTCTGGCATTCATCGAGTGCATCCAGGACGATCCATACTTCGCCGATCTGTTGTGCCATGGCTTTGAATGTCGAGATCAGTAAGTCTACACTCGGCTGTCGTGAAGCATTTTTGCACGAGGAGTAAAGTGAATCCAGATGCGTCTGGACATCGTGACTTTTGGAATATAGCTGAGCAATAAGGGACCGAAGTGCTTTCTCGAGCGACTGCTTGCTAGTGTCGGTGAAGTCGAAGTAAAAGTAGACAAGACTCTCGGAATAAGACTTGGTACTGCTGAGGTCTTTAATAACCGTTGAACTCAGAATCGTCTTTCCACAGCCTGGTATGCCGTGGAGCCATCAGGAAGACTTCGGCGTGTTTTTCCACTTCGAGTATTCCTCGCTGTCGAGCAACCACTGGCCTGTTCCTTCGTGACGTTGCTGCAATGCCTTGTTGTCATTAGTTGATGGATCTGGCGGAGCGAGCCATTTCATGACCTCCTGGAAATGTTGGCTTTGTTGCATCTTGTTTGTGGCTGAGCGGACTTGAGACATATCTTTACGTACTGCAAAACGAATGTAAGTAATTTAATCTGAACTAGAGTCATAGAATACTAACGATGTTCCATAATTTCGTCGATTCTTGAGGAGCCCTCTACATCCTCGCTGTCGATAACTTCAAGCAGCTCCTTTGCAAATGCGGCCGCGGTTGCTGCGGAATAGTTTTGCCACCGGTCGTTCTTGTGGGTGTCTGCATAGTCGCAGATCCCTCTGATTACGAGACAGGGAAAGTTATCCATCAGACCAGCCGCCTCCATCTCGAAGCAGATGCACTTGTCCCCAAGTCGCTGTACAATGTCGTCCCGAGAGATCCCATCCTTTACGACGGAGTTGCCTGAAGCAATGACGCCATAGTGAACTACGGGATCGGTGGATCGTCGATGTCGTCGCCCAATTTCTTTCCCTGTGTCGCAATGCTCGCAAGATTTCGTCTGGCTGGCCTCTTGACAACTTGCATCTTCGGATGGGATGCTCCTTGTCGCCTCGTTCGTACTGGCAGGCGTCCTCACAGAGGTATAGACAAGCCAAAATAAGGACCAAGCCCATACCAGTGCCAGCTGAAAATAGTGCGTACTGACATTATGTGGAACAGCTCCTGCCAAAGACACTGCGCTTTGTGAATCCGGGCGTTGAATGTGTATAGAAGATGCATCGAATAGCCGGTCGTTGTGCGCCCCTTGGTAGACGAACGCAGCGTCACCTGGTTCTGCTTCTGCTAGTAGGGGATGACGCTGGAGCATGTCGTTCAGGATGCTGCGCACTCGAGGTCCTTTGAGCCTTCGTTTGGCTTTCAGTGCCGCCAATCCTTTGAGAAGGACCTCGGGCGGAGACGCGAGAGAACCGACACGTGTGAACTGGCCGTCGTTTCCCAGCTTCCCTAGATCGTACTGCACGACTCCCGGACTGGTACCAGTCGGCTGGCTAACGACAACGTCGCCGAGGCGGATGTCGATGTTGTCTGCCAGCCTGGGGATGCCAGCGCCAATGCCGACCATGAGGCCGAACCGAAGATGCGGAAGAGAGCTGGTCATGCTCCACGCTGTCGTCGCTGCGGACACAGTGCCGTACTTTCCAGCGGCTAGCGAGGCGATGACAACATTGTGGTCCCCGATCCGACCCCAGACATAGCTGTTTGTGTCTTTCGGGTGCTTTCTGAAGTTTTCCGGCTTCTGGTGCTCTTCGTCGAGCACGGCCTCTGCCGCGGTCAGCTCCTTGTCAAGAGCGGTGATCCACCCGATGGTGTACAACTGAGGGCTTGGAAGTCGCTTTGAGGATGTCATAGCGCTTCATAGGGCTGGGAGAGGTCTGAGTCGGTGAGGGTTCATGGAAGGATGCATGGCGATGCTCCTGTTGAACTCGCCCCGAAAGCGATCAAAATAAGCCCTTGAACACAGCCTTGCGCTGAGGATAGCTGACTGGATGACCGATGCAGTTGAGCGATGCAGTGGCTGACGATTCGATAGCACCAACGAGTGGATGCTGACCCCTCTCCCGATGATTGGCAGTGACAGCAGAAAAAGATGGGTCTCGGGGGCCTAGCCTGATGGAGACCGCGTAGAACAATGGCCACGCGCCAACACAGTCAGGTGGCGGCGTGCGACCGCACAGCACGCCGGGATATCTTTCAGAGAAAGATGAGCCTGGTAAGCCTACTGGCCATGGTCCGTAGGTAAACGGTTTTGCTATGGACTTTGGTATCTCCTCTCAGTATCTAGTCAGGGAGCAGCAGTAAGAGCATTGCTTATCAGTAAACAGCCGCTGCAGGCTATGTACTCTACTAAGATAACGCCCATCATGTCCATTGTAGAGCCTTATCACGCCAACAAATGATAGGCGTTAAGGTAGGTGTGGTGTAAGTCATGCAACCACCAATAATGCCCAGCGGCGCTCTAGGAAGGACGAGAAGCATAGGGGTTCTAGAGAGAGGCGAGGTGCAAGTCTCTAAAAATAAGGCGCCTGCGGTGCTGTCAGCCAGTGGGCCACCCTCCATACAATTAGCCAATATCGCGCCATCCGGGTCGGATGCAGGCACTTCGAGCATCGTCGAATCACGCATGGCGGCTAAGCCAGTTAGGACCAAAAAGAAATAATAATCGGTAAGTTATTCTCTTGATAATGCTTATGTAGGCAAGACCCCACAACTTGATGTACGCTTATTGGTAGCTCGCTCACCGAAGGACGAAAAGACCGATGCCGCCCAAGAAGTCATGCAAGCCCGGAGCGAATCTGCCTTGCTGCCTCGTCGCCTCTGCGGCCAGCAGCCGGCCCGAGGCGGCCTTTTCGTTGGCCTTTAAATCAAACGGCCGCATACTAAATAGCCCGAACGGGTTGCCTCTTCCGCGCGATCCTCATCCCTTACAGCACCCCCACGCGCAGTGCACTTTTTAAAGCAACAAGGCTGCCACGAGCAACTGCCTTCCCATTCCCCTATTCCATATTTCATCAACGGATTTGAGAGCTTCCTCTTCCGGTTGTCACACAGATGTAGCGAGGAAATCTGTTGAAACTTGGTTAGCATATTTGCCGCTCGAACTCAGGCTCGCCTCGGTGCGGGTCTTCAGATACCTCAGTCACGAGACTGAGCAGCTCAGATCCCCACTCAAGCGCAAATGGGACATCCATAATGCGAGGTTTACTAGGATTCGATGTTGTGCATCTGACATAAGTGCAGGGCGTCATCTTGCATTACATATGTAAAAGCAGCGATATGCACTTATGCAATGAACGCAAGTTATCAGTGCATATTTCTTCCATGCCTAACATTCGACTTTCCTTATGTTAATGAGTACATGTATGCTGCCCTTTTCCTCGCGCTAGTTAGCTACCGCCTCTGCCTTGCGTTATCCTAGCGACGCAATTGCACCTTGCAGATAGGATACTCCTTTACCTGGTGTCAAAAACGACCCATACACATCACATCACAGCACAAATGGGCGAACCGGCACCTCCAAACAAAGGGGGCATCCATGTTTAAAGACCTTGAATACCTATTGTGGTCCTAAGTGCTGGTGACGAGGACACTCCTTGCACGGGTGTCGCTGAGGAAATGCAGGGAGGTTTCCCAAGGGGGTTCCTGTAGGCGAGTGCGACGCGAGTCGCAAATGGCAATATTGTGTTAGTTTATGCTCCCCCCTTTTAGTAACCGTAAATTACTGATGAGTTACCGTTTTGTAACCGAAAGAGCCCTTCTACTACACCGTCACGTCTTTGTTAACACAATAGTAGCATAGCGACTTCCTAGGAAGTTATCACCCCCCTATTTGGTAACCGAAACTGCCTATGAGTCCTTGGCCTGAAAAGCGACACCAGTGGCCTAATTTGATTGTAAAAAGTTGTTGCTTGCCCTATTAGATATGCTAACTTCATGCCGACAGATCGAAATCTGCTGTTATTTCTTTAACATTTAAATGCTTTCATGTTCTTACCACGAGCAAGAGGTCTTGCATAGCTGCAGATGCGCCTTGTCTAATGCTAGGTAGTGACCGCCTAGCAGTCCCCCTTGCTTGATCCCTATGCTTTGACTCTATTGCTCGAAGCGTGTCTTGGTGGCATCGAACAAGGTGTATTGCACGTTTTTGTCAATCCGGACTGAACGGTACGATTCTACCTTGTTGACGGCCTGTAGGCAGGAGCTGAAGAGACCAGGGAGCCCAATGACGCCGACGGCGAAGCCAGCAAGTACCTTTGCGGTGTTTTGTGATGTGCTAGATAGTGTCAAGAATGATCACCTCTCGCGGCATTCTTAGACCAGGTCCTGTATTCACACTTTAGAGAGTTGGCCGGGTAGCTTATGAGGCGGTAAATGCGGGAGTTCGCGCGGTGCACCCACTCGCGCTGCTCCCGCCAAGGCTCCCAAGTCCAGGCAAATGCATATCGACTTGTACGGCGGACAGCGGGGCGAGGCATTACGGCTGGTGTGTACTGCGAGGGGTAGCAGGGAGACACGCAAAGGTGGCTGAATAAAGGATCAAACTGCGGAACAGAACACTGTTGCATTCATGGCGAATTCAGACAATATGGGATCGCTCTTAGATACGGTAATACTGGCGAGTAAGAGCTGATGGCTTAAGGAATTTTATGAGGGTTGCCAAGGCTCACCAGATGGACCTGGAAAGGGTGCCGTGGGCAGTGATGGTCCCAAGAGTAATATTTAGGGACATTGTAAGAGGGCAATAAGGTTGACATGTTAAACTAAACCGATCTCTTCCAATCTTATTCAAAGCTGATCTATAAAAAGCCGAAACCATTGATTGTTACTCTTACCGGGACTAGCCTTTTCGGGGTCAGGCAAGTTTCCGATCGCTCCCTCACAGCCCCAAAGCCTTGCAGTAGTGGGCTGGGTTCGAAGGCACGACGCCTTTGCCTGCTCTCAAAAGATAGGTGAGCCAGCCGTTACGAACGACCTGTAACTGTACCAGTGCATGCTTCCTTGGCAGACCTTGGTGTTTTATCTCAGCGTCGTAGTAAAGGAAAAGCAGCCGGCGTATAATTTAAGCATGAAACAGCTATAGGCTATAATATTCACCAACCGGGAAGATGGTCATTTGCCATTGAGCCTACCGTAGCAGGCCTACTAACTGACGGCAACTGGGACCCTGTTGAAGAGACTTCCAGCTCTTCAGTCTCCAGACCACCCATGGGCCGCTCCCTGGTCGCTTTCGAACCAAATCACCATACTGGAGCTGTATGTGCAGATACCCTTTCGGACGCAACCAGATATACCACGTTGCGTGGCACATTTACAATGTCAGCACCCGTGGGACCCTGGGTACCGGCCTTCACTGCATTTTAGACCTCACCAGAGCCGGTGAAAACATACTTGTTAGTTTGCGGGAATAGCAGTCACCGATTCGCAGCTCAACCTCTCGTTTTAGGCCCACTGGAACATGGTGCCACGCTGTTTCGCATGTGCATCCTGTCACTGCCAATGACGACGCACCTTAACAAAGCGCCATACATATTCGATTTCGGCTCGCCATTCCGTCTACGTTCCTTCCAATCATACTACCATTTAGCGGGGCAGGCCCTGTTGATTGCGTATGGTTCAACTAGCCGATCACAACATCTTGACAAGACGAACTGACGTTCTTCGATGTGAGATGGGTGGGGACACCTATCCACAACATGGATTACCGTAGTAAGGGGATGATTACGGGTTTTGGGGATCTGATGGTCGATCGATGCGATGAGGAACTTCATCCATTATCTAGCCATGTACTAGTCGATGTAGCTAACAAAGGCATACACCTACTCATTTCTGAAGGAACAATAAGCTGTTTTCTAGCTTGTGGAATGTATTGCCAATAGTATCACACGTCCGATTCTCACTAACAGACGTGATCGGAAGCAATTGAATTGATTCACTTGTCAATAACACCCTCACTTTGCTTTGGTGCTTGTCGTAGCGCCAGAACTTCCGTCGTGGTGTCCTCTGCCTCGTCGTACCCCCCTGGGCGTGGTATGTTGTTGCGAGTTCAGCCATGCTCCAGATCGTGTCGGGGTGCCTCCTGCCAAGAACCTCCTGGCGTAGCTCAAGCACTTCTACTGAGATCTTCTCTGCCTCGTCATACCTCCCCTGGGCGTGGTATGTTAATGCGAGTTCAGCCATGCTCCCGATCGTGTCGGGGTGCCTCCTGCCAAGAACCTCCTGGCGTAGCTCAAGCACTTCTGTATAAATCTTCTCTGCCTCGTCATACCTCCCCTGGGCGTGGTATGTTGTTGCGAGTGAGGCTATGCTCCAGATCGTGTCGGGGTGCCTCTCACCTAGGATTCTCTGCCGTATTGAAAATGCCTTCCTATCTACCGGCTCCTTCTCATTCCAACGTCCGCGGTCGAACAGGTAGTCCGACACACGGCTCAGAAGGTTCGCAATATCTTCGCCTGCGCCCGCCTCGCATACTTCAGCCCACTCACTACATTGCAATGCATGAGGAAGCCACAGCTCGGTTTCTTCCCATGCACCTCGCGTTCTCCGCGGGAAGAGGTCTGACACAAGAGTGAGTGCTGCCATAGAAAACTGCGCTGCATCCTGTCGGCGTCTTTTCTGGCTCATGCTATATCGAGCTGCATCCTGAACGAGCTTGTGCATCTCGTATGTCTGCCCGATTGACTGGTTTTTCCGCATGGATAAGAAGGAAAACTCTCTCAGGCGAGCCAAGGCAGTAGTGACAGCCTCGTTGTCATCATCTGATTCATCCTCACTCTCCGTGATCGTACTGGTACTACTCTGACTTTGTCTGTCGCCAACACCTGCTTGCGCTGCTGCCTTGATAAAACTTTCCGGAATGTTTTGATTGTGGACATACGCAAGGGTGAGAAGGAGCCGGTATGCCGTATCATCCTCTTGCCTTATGTGCTCCATCGATATTTGCCAAGTCTCCAGGATGCTGTTCGGGACTTCGCGTCGACGGTGACGGTCATGTTCTGACTTCTGCAGAATTCTCCACCTCTTTTTCCCTTCCTCGAGCCTCGACAAGTACTTCGCTACTGGCGTGGATGTTCGGCGGATGTAGGCAGCAGCCTGCGAAACGGCAAGAGGGAGGTGGTCCAGCTGTGCGAACAACTCAAAAACAGCATTCTTCTCGTCGGCAGCAACACTCTCATTTCTTGACGCCTCGAAAAGCGCCAAAGCCTCACCAGTGTTCATACGGCCCACCGACACCCCCCGTCGAGCACCCACAAGGCTGCCTACAATCCGCTTGTCGCGGCTCGTCCAGAGTACGGTGCCGACAGGCGCCCGGGGAAGATAGTCGTCCAAGCATATTCCTTCAGTCGTAGCTTGTGTGTTCGCCGTTCTCCTTCCGACGCCAAAGATGCTGAGGTCATCTGCGTTGTCGACAACAAGCAACCAGCGAGGCTGCGCCTCGATCCACTCGCGCACCGCCCTGAGCAGCTCCTCGCCTTGGAATCTGTCTGTGAGCCCGGCCCTCCTCGCAAGAGCTTCGTAGTCTTGTGTGAACGTCGCTTCGTTGTCTGCGTGAACCCAGTAAACAGAGCAGTTCGTTTCGCGGAACCGGCGGTAGGCAAACTCGAGCGCTATCTGTGTTTTCCTACGGCAGTCAGTGCTCTGTGCCTCGAAGAAGCCAGAGTAGCCTACCCAGAGCCTCCCAGACCCAGAGAGCGGCGCTCTGATACTCAGCGACGGGCGGGAGGAGAGTGTCGAGTTTGGCGAAGACATCAGGGCGGTCGATAATGTCATTGTTGCGCTCTAAGGGGATGATAAAGAGAGGTCGTGTTACTGTCGCTGGTGGGCCTAGACACTTCAGTTTGTCTTCAAGCGCGGGGTAGTGCCATGCTTACGACCGTCAGAAACTGTGACGTTTAGCGTCCCGCCCGTCTCAACACGGGCGCCGGGGAATGCGATATGTCCAGTCGTCGATCCGAATGAAACCTGCCCATCCATAGCGGCAAAATCGAATGCAATAGAGGACAAATCGAAGGGTTGGTTGCAACGTCGGAAGTTGTGAGATGGACACCAGTCGCAGAAAGATTAAGAAATCAGGCTGACTTGGCCTGCGGGCACAGCCAACACGTGCTACTCCAGCCTTGTCGTGACCTGCAGCATCACAATCTTCCACCTGTCAGTTTCACTAGACCGCGAATTATCACCATGGCCACCCATCCAAGCCGTCGCAACGAGTTTTCGATCGCTATGGTGTGTGCTCTGCTGCTGGAGTATGATGCTGCGGCGCTTGCTTTTGACGAATCTTGGGACGATGATGGCAACACGTCTGGGACGGAGTAGGGTGTGATCTGAACACCTATACGACCGACCGAGTCGCACAATACAGCGTCGCCCTGACGCTGCTGTAAATATACAATCCAATTTGAGTGTACAAAATCCAAGTACTGCGTCTCACTGCCAAGCATGAATTCTCCGTGAATGACGGAAGAGAGGCCTCCTTCCGACTCATGGAAAGCGCATTCTTGAAACAGCGTTCTGGAAGCGACTTAGCCCTCAGATGTACATCGTCGGGTGGATTACTGGTCTACGGAGTGATGGGGTGGAATGTAGCCAGCCCGTTGCAGTAAAAGCGCCTTGCGATGTGGCGCAAGCCGGCCCGTCGTCCCACTCGACAATTTCCACAAGGTTCTTCGCTGGGCCGCAGGGGATACGGTAGGGGACGCTTGGACCAATGAAATCAATACGAATATAACATGCAGTCCATCATTGTGCAGCGCGTTTGAGAAATGGGAATTGCTGCTTCTCTCTCGGCACGAAAGTCTTCACTGTGTGATGACATACATGTCGGCATCCTCCCAGCTTCCACTATCAAAGTCAAGAATCAAAGAATGCACTACCACTTGTGCCCAAGATGTCTCCATGCTTCTTGAGGCAGCCCAGTTGTGGACAACTACTGCGCTAGAAGCTTCGGACACGAGCGGTAGGAACGCCTTATCGCCTTGTCCAGTGACAACCAGCTGGTGATGCACCCAACGAGGCGACGCCGCCACGCTTATGTTGCCAGCCTCATTGGCGCGCACAGCCGGTCCACCGCCCTCACAACTATGCCTTACCGGAGGCTGCCCAAGTGGAGCGGCGCATCGGATGGATGCGCTAGCAAACACAGCGACATGGTAGAAATGACAGCAGTACACGTGGTAAGCATCAGGCAGACGAATGCCATTGTATGCAGCTGTGTTCGGATGACAGGTTGCGCCATAAATCTGCTTTCATGTAGAAAACACAAACCCCGCCTTCCATCAATCGCGACAACCTCACGCGCGCAACCATGGAACCGGTAGGACTGGCTGTCGGCGTCGTGGGCCTAGCCGGCCTCTTCAGCTCTTGCTTGGAAGCTGTTGAAAAGTTCGACTCGTACAAAAACTTTGGCCGCGATTCACGTTCTCTAGCCACTCTGTTCGACGCCGACAAGCACCGCTTCGAGCAGTGGTGTCGCGCTGTCGGCATCGAGAAAGGGAAGTTATCCGACACGCACCACCCCGCTCTCGATGATGCGAAAAACATGGCGATAATTCACAAACTCTTTGCCAGCATCCGAGACTTTTGCAGCGGCGAAGATGACGCCCTCAACCAGCAGCCCACCCCAGCAGACAGCAAAATCTCAAAAGACGGTTTTCTCTCCACACGGCAAGGCCAGCTTCGCCATGGCGCGCTTGTGGACTCGAAGTGGCGGAAGGCCGCTTGGGCACTAACCGGGAAAACAAAGCGCGCAGGCCACGTTCAGATGTTTGCGACCCTGGTGCAGTATCTGTACAGTGTGGTTCCTCCAGACGACACAAAGGGTACACCATCAGGACATGGAGCACGTAACTATGACTCTGCGCACCTACACGGTTCGGACAAACGCCCCGAACCACTGCCTAGCATATTGATCTGACAGTGCTAAAGATACTCATCTAGTCGACAGTCCTTTGTTTGATGAGATTCGAGCGTTCCTGCGCCAGGCAGAAGAAGAGACGAAAGGTACTGATGCCGTGACCCGCGCCCTCGATCTCTAGCTAACGGCTGCAGCCGAAACAAAACGGGACCTGCGCGCTTGGCTTGGTTGCCCGTCCCCGAACGATCTATACGACGACTCCATCCAGAAGCGGCTGGACGGCACATGTGAGTGGATACTGGCGCGGACAGAGTTTCGCCAGTGGCTTTCGCCCGATGCTCCACCTGGTGCTTCGAAGCTGCTGTGGATCAACGGCCCGGCGGGGTATGGTAAGACGATCCTTTGTGCCAAACTAGTCGAAGTTATTTCATCCACGCCTCAGACACCCACCGCGCATTTCTTTTTATCATCCAAGTCCGAGGGCCGTGACGACCCATTCTTAGCGATACGGTCGTGGCTAGCAGCGATAACATTTCAAAACCAGGCTGCTTTGAATGTGGTCCGGAAGAGACGCTTGGCACAGCATGAACAGGCCGCAACGCGAGCAACCATCATCCGACTCTTCCGTGAGGTTGTCCAGACCGTTCCGTGCTGTACGTTCATCTTGGATGGGCTGGATGAATGCACTTGGGTGGGGGGAGGCCACAGCGGCAGCCACTCTGTGGCCCGCTTTCTTGAAGAGCTTAGGCAAGCGATTGACGACACCACTGCTCGGGTTTTGGTGGTCAGCCGTAACGAGCCTGAAATCCGGCAGGGGCTCAAGCGATACTCGGGATTCAGCGAATACACGATATCACTGGAAGACGTATCTGCTGACAACATTGCCTACTCAAGAAGTATCGTCGACAACAAGCTGTCCAACAAGGACGAATCAATAAGACTCAGCATCTCCCAGAGAATGGCCGATCGCTGTCACGGCCAGTTCCAGTGGCTGAGAATGCAAGAAGACTTCTTGAGGAAATGGAGAAACCAGAAGCAGCTTGAAAGGGACATCGACGAGACCCCAGCCGGGCTTGACCGTCTTTACGACCGCAACTGGGAACGAATTGAGAGATTGCAAGATGTAAAAAGAACAAAGGCCTTCTCGTTGCTGTGATGGGCCGCATTTGCTCTGCGGCCCCTGACTGTCTGCGAGATCACCGAAGCTGTGCTCATCAATGAGGACTGCGACGACCTGCCAGTCGACGAATTGCCGGACTCTGTTGATGATGACTACATCGAAAGCGAAATCCTGGATCTCTGTGGATCCTTGATAGAAGTACGAGGCACTTTATCGGAATCTCCGGCTGGATCGAGGAAGATACACCTAGCCCATTTCTCGGTTAAGCAGTACCTGCTGTGTAAGATCCCGTCTCGGGGGGCGGTCTTGTTTGCCAACGAAAGCTTGCGCGCCTCCAACGAAGTCACCGAGGGTGTCCTCCTAGCCAAGCTATGTCTCCGCTACATCGGTTTCCAACGAGTTTGGGACGGAACACTTCATGAGGAAGAAGATCGAATCGGGATGTCTTTCCGGAATTACGCTGCGAAATATTGGCATCAACATACTGACGTCAGCAATGTAAACGACGAGGCGTTAGTGAAAGCAATGAACGCCCTCTTTGCCGGACGCGTTGAAACTTGGGACTCCTGGAGACAGTGGTTTGATGTCCATGGCGAGGATTTGAAACCGGAAGCGACAGAAACAATCTTACCGGCAAGCCCCTTATACTATGCTTCTTATTTGGGGTTAACAGGGGTGGTGAGGTTTCTCATTCATCATTGCAAGCAGGACCCGAATGAAAAGGCAAAGTCGGGAAGAGCAGCCCTCGAAATCGCATGCGAAAAGGGATACCAGGAAATAGCGCAAATGTTGCTTGAAGGGGGAGCAGACATTGATGTTGCTGGCCGTAGAGGACGAACACCGCTCTATGCTGCATCGATGAACGGCCATTTCGGCTTGGTTAAGATGATTCTCAAAAACGAAGGTAATGTGACACTTAGGAATACTCATGGATGGACGCCACTTAATACGGCATCAGACAGTGGCCATCTCGAGGTGGTCAAGCTGCTTCTCGACAAGGGAGCAGACGTCACAGTTGCTGATAACGATGGATGGACGCCGCTTAATACGGCATCAGACAGTGGCCATCTCGAGGTGGTCAAACTGCTTCTCGACAAGGGAGCAGACATCACAGTTGCTGATAACGATGGATGGACGTCACTTAAAGCAGCCTCAAGTAACGGCCATCTCGAGGTGGTCAAGCTACTTCTCGACAAGGGAGCAGACATTACGATTGCCAACAAGGACGGATGGACGCCGCTCTATCCAGCATCAGACAGCGGCCATCTCGAAGTGGTCAAGCTGCTTCTCGACAAGGGAGCAGACGTCAAGGTTGCTACGAAAGATAACCGATCACCCCTCTTATGGGCGGCAAAAAATGGACATGAGGCCGTTGTCAACATGCTGCTTGATACAGGTAAGGCTGACGTGGACTTGATCGACACAGAGGGCCGCACAGCACTTTCCTGGGCTGCTATGAAAGGCCAAGAACAGACAGTATCAATCCTACTTAAAAACAGCAGGAAAGCCCTCGATTTTCGAGACAACCAAGGCTGTACGCCACTCATGTGGGCACTCAAACGATCCCATCAAATGGTGGTGGAAGCACTCAGTCAGGGTGGGTGTTCAGTAGAAGAATCATGTATAGAACAGTTGGCTTTTCAGGCGTTCAATTCATTGCCGGCCGCCATGTTAGAGCAGTTCTTTGCCAATATTGGTTATGCTGCTGTGGACGATTTCTTAGGACTTCAGGCACTGTTTCATAGGCATTGCGTGCTTTAAGCTAGAAACATTTTCCTCGAGACCACAATAGTTATTAAAATGTGCTTCAATGATAAGGGCGGTCTATCCTACGCTATGGATTCATCTTGTCACCCTGTCTGGCCTGCCTTCACCTTCCTAACTGGCAATATCCCAGTTGTTAGCCTCGTTGGTTTGAATGCGTGACTCATTTTTAACATCGCCAAGAGCCCAGCAATCTATGAGTAAAGTTTTCTACTTAAAAGTAAGAAACGATGACCAGTGCTGGGCTTCCGGGTCTTACCTCAAAAGCACGCGGTTCTGGACTATTTGATTTGCATCGACCTTATCGAAACAGCCATATTGTCGATTGAGCTTGTCGATTTCCTTTCGCCCGGTGGCTTCTGAGCCAGCTTCGGTCGCGAGGTCATTCAGAATCTTGGCATTCATGGCCAGAATATGGAGAGCCAAGTCGACAGCATGCGTACCGAAGCCCCGGTCTTGGTCCTACGGCATGGCGCGTATGGCTTCCTCGAAGCAGAGGATAGAGGTTGACTGGAAAGTCTGGCTTCTGAGGTGAGGATGTGTCTGGAACCATGACTTGCTCGTGAATCAGCGAGACGCAGGCGCGAAGTGGATGTTGCGGGTGAGGGAAGAAAGGGCGAACGCACTCCGACAATTAAAGTCGTCCCGGCTCAGTCAAACCGCATCCCGATGCCACGGAAAGTACGGGCAAGTCAGGACCCAATGTTCTAACGACTTCACCTCACGAGCCTACAAACAGACGCGCCAGGTGTGTGGACCCGCTTCCCATGGTGTCACCGCCGAAAGTAGCCACTCCATAAACCTCTGTTTATGGAGCTTGATGATGCTCCAGCTGGCGAGCAGGGCCGGAAATGGGGATTTCAAGTACAGCGATATATTTTGCCTGCTCGCAAGCATTGTCGTCAAGTACTGTGGCTCGGCTCATGGCGGAAGTGAGCGGACACCGCCACAACTGGAGGAATGGGGAGCAAGGCCATTCTCTTGCTTCATTGCTGCTCGCCATGTGCAGAATCGCTATCAAAGTGGATTTTCGGAGCCCGACCTAGAGTGAGGTAGGCTAGGAGTCGGAACGGGATCCTGCGGACAGGATACATGGCGAAGTAAGGTGCTCGCTGTGTGACTGGGGATAGTGACTCCATAATGATAATAAGAAGGCTCCCCAGAGGCAATTGCAGCGGCGTCGAAAGGCGATTTGTGGGTCCCGGATTTCCAAGGTAACAACTGGGATCTCGAAATGGATTTTGCAGTCGGGGATGTACCAGAGCAAGTAGAGTCGTGGTCGGATGGTGGAGAACGCCTTCCATGAAAGGTCAGAACCTGGTCCTGCAGAAGCTGGACATGGATTGTGCAGATAGAACACTTGGTAGAGCAAGAAAGCTCCTTGTTACATGGTCGGGAAGACTCTCGACCAAAGGCCGGAAATGGCTTCCGCATCATTGTCGCAGGTGCGCTACAACTGGCTTTCCAGGCCATGGCTTTCCAATATATCAATAGGAGCCGGAAATGGGTCTTTGCGGGGACCATACACGGCACAGCAAGGTGCTTGCGGTGTAGCTGGGATGACTCATTTTGGGATCTTGGGAGCCCAAACAGGCTCCCAGCATGTTCCGGACTTTCCACTACAGCAATTGAAAGCCAGATATGGATCTTGCAGTCACTGTAAGTAGTAGAGGAAGAAAGCTCCTTGTTGCGTGGCTGGGAAGACCAGCCGGAACCAGTTCCTGGCAAGAGTCAGACATGGATCGTGTACACAGGGTAGGTCGTGAAACAAGGAGGACCCTTGTTGCATGGCTGGGGACATCCTCCGCGAAAGGCCAGAACTGGCACTTGCCTCATCGTTGCGGCGACGTTGGAACTGGATCTCTAGGTCGCGGCATCCATTTCTACACGACAGGGCGAGAGCCTAGTCGCGTGGCTGGGCAGATCGTCTCCCAAAGGCACCTAAAGCCGGAATCGAAAAGTAAGAAATGGCCTTCCAGAAGAACCAGATTTGGATCTTGCTAACAGGGGACATGACTTAGCATGCAAGATCCTTATCGTGTGGCTGGGGACAATCTCGCTCCAGACTCAGCCGGTGGAAGGGAGCTGGAAATGGATTTTGCGGACAGTGAATAGCGACTAACAAGAGTCAAATCCAACTTTTTCAACATGGTAAATGGGGTGGTCGGTAAGGTCCTTGGTGTGTGGCTAGGAGGACGGGCCAAAACTGGCTTCTGGTAAGAGCCAGATACGGATGCTCAAGACAAGGGATTTATGTGAGCAAGTGAGATGCTGACTGGGAGGGTCCTGCCCCAGTCGCCAGAAGCGACCAACAACAACGCGGTTGCAGCGGCATTGCATACTAACATCTGGGTCTCGACTCTCCAGTACAGTGGATGAAGCCAGATACGGATCTCAAGAAAAAGCCATATATCGGGACAAGCAGTATCCTTCATACAGGCTTGAGAATTCCTACTCCCGCGAGTCGAAACCGACTTCTAGAAGGAGTCCGGTGTAGGTTTTGCGGAAGGGCGATGTACTGGTGCATGCAAGCTTCCTGTTGTTGGCTGGGGGTGCCTAGTCCCAAAAGGCAGAAGAGGCTCTTGGTAGCATGTAATTGCTCTGGCGCCAAAAGTTGATTTCAGAGCTCCCCAGCCTTGGTAACTGCAGGATGAACCGGTAATGGATCCTGCGGACAGGGTATGAGGTGGAAAGAAGTACCATGTAATAGTAGCTCTGAACAAGAGCTAGGTCTGGATATTGCTGACAGGGGAAATGGGTTGGCAGGTAAGGACCTTGGTGTGAGGCAAGAAAGACGGAGACCACTTAGGCTTAGCTCCTGGCAAGAGAGCCAAAGACGGATCTTGCAGGCAGGACGGGAAAAGCGGGGAGCAAGCAAGACCCTTGTCGCGTGGCTGGGAAGAGCTTACCCCGACAGCCAAAAGCGGCTCGAAGGGCGTAGCCCCAACGGCGACGAGTGCCAGCTTCTAGACCTCGACTTCTCAGTACATTAGATGGAGCCAGATACAGACTCTGCGAAAAGGCTTTATGTCGGGACGAGCAAGATCTTTACCCCAGGCTTGAGAATGGCCGCCATTAAGAGTCAGAATAGGCTCCTGGCATTTGGCTGCAGCTGTGCGGGACGGCAGTGCGGATGAGTAGGGCCTCGTTGCGTGGCTGGGGGTATTCACCATCTAGTCAGAATCGGCTCTTTGGAGTAATGAACCCCCAATGGTATGAAGGCAATCGGGGTTGGATGCCGACCTCGCGGACAGTGCACACAGCCAAGCAGGGCCCTTCTTGCTATGCTGGAAAGGCTCCTCCAAAAGCCGAAACTGGCTCCTAGCAAGAACTAGTTATGCGGCCGACGGACAGACGATGTGCTGGTACAGGCAAATTTCTTGTTCCTGGCTGGGATGCCCACTTCTAAAAACCATAATACCGGTATCCGTAGACTTTCATCAGCCCGTAATTGCACCAGTGCCAATGGTCGGTTTTCGGTCTCCGCTGTGAGAATTGCAGGACGAGCCGGTATTGGATCTTGTAGATAGGGCTTGTGGCGGAACGACCGGGATCCTGATTGTAAAGTTAAGGATACCCACCTTTGGAGCCAGAAACGGCTCTTAGCACCAGGATTGCGGCGCAAGACGTCGATTTCCAAACTCGACTGCGGGAACCAAAAAGTGAAAAGAAGACGCGGATTTTGAGGCCAGGATGTGGCGAAGAAAGCAAGATCCTTGTTGCATGGCCGAGAACACTCGATCTTTACTCAACTACTCAACTTGTCTGCGGGGCATTCACAAATACTTGCGGTAAGTAGACCAAGCTCAGCGTCCAAAACCGATCTCGAGCGGCGCCGTAAGGTGACAGGCACTTGCATCCAACCCCCACGTCAGTTTTTAGCCGAGCCAAAACAAACCATTCGAATACACATGCACCATGGAAGCCAACATCGCCATATCTAGTCTACAGATACGCCTCAGACCTCCTGCAAATACAGCACGCAGCACGCAGTGCACCTATGTAACGCATGCATAGAATGGCTCAATGTCAGCAGGAGCACGTATCGTCTGAACAGCAAAAATGCAGCAAAAATGCAGCTAACATCGCACGCGACAGCGTCAACCGCGGGTCTGGAGTGGGTGTTTGATCCGTTTTCGACGTACTGGATGTAGAGAAGCGACTGAGTTCATACATCATGTACACATGAAACCAGCGAGCCTGACTCGGCAAATGCCTTTGGTTCCCCCAGCGTCGTGTTCTTTCGTTACATGAACCAAGATATCTCGCCCAATAGCCACAGAGATCCTTCCCTATGAAGCCGATTCCCCTAGATGTCGCGTGGCACATCTTCAACCATAGCGAACCCCACGTCCAGTCCCATTTCGCACGATGCTCGCACGCTTGGCATTCGTTCTTCAACCCCAAGCTGTACCGGCACGATGTCACGAACGGTCAGTATTCCGCCGTCTTTGAGACGATTGCCCACTGTACAGACACGCGCGTGGCCCTCGCCACACTTGAGCATACCCGCCGAGCCGGCGCTGACTACAATAAACCGACGACCATGTACATGACCGAAGCCCAACAGCCCAGCCCTTTTCTCGTCACGGCCCTGTACCTGGCCGCTTCGAAAGGCTATGCTGAGATCGTTTCGTTTCTCCTCGATCACGGTGCGGATATCGACGGGGTCCCGGACTGCCGGCTACGCACTCCCGTCTTCCTATCTCTTCTTAGCCGGGATGCGGAGACATCGATGGTCCTCCTTCGGCGTGGCGCACGCCTCGAGTCTCCCGAGTTCGGAATCAATGCGCTCCACCAAGCGGTCGCTGCGGGACTGACCGAAGTCATCACCTATCTGATCGACGAGAGAGGACTGGGTGTGGACCAGGTCGACAGCAACGGGGACACGCCGCTGATCCACTCACTGTTGTCACCGTCGCCGGAGACGGTCATAGCTCACCTGGCACGATTCGGGGCGGACGTCAACCAGCCGACGACGATCGACACGTGGCGCATGACGCCCTTGAGTATGGCGTGCGAAGACGGCATGTTCTCCGCAGCCCTGTCACTTCTGGAAGCCGGAGCGGATGCCACCGGCGAGTCGGACGGCTTGGTGGAGGGGGCCGACCCCGCGCTCCGTATCTATGACCAGAAGCCGCTCGAGTTGGCACTGCTGGCTCGGTCCAAGCAAACAAACGGGAGGACGGCGGCAGTAAAAGAACGGCTCATCAAGCGTCTCGTCAAGTCAGGCGCCGACCCTTACCTGGACACTCTCCACGTGCCACGGAGACCCCGTTACGGCGTCGATCTTGTTGCGGCGTGGTGCCAAGATGGACGAAGAAGTGTTGTGCACCGTCATCGACAAGCTGGTGCGGCTGGCGGATGCGCGAGACCATTGGGGTGTGATCAGTCTCCTGACGCGAGAGCCCAAGCTGTTGAGGATCTTCCATGTGTTGTATTCGCACTGCTTTTGGGCGGCATCAAGAAGCGGCGATGCGGTGGCAACGCGATTTCTGCAGGATTCGCCGAGGTCCATCGTGCGTATGGTTACGGAGATGCTAAAACACGGGATCAGTCTGAGTAAAACAGGGGTCCTCAACATGTTGCGCCTCAACAAGAGTAAGGAGAAACTACCAGGGCCAGTCATCGCGAGGATGTTTTTTCCTGATGTCGGCTTGAGGTAGGGAGCACATCATGTGGAAGCTTACTCCTTCGTATTGGAAAGAAGCATCGCAAAGGGATTGTGTACAGCAGCGAGGATAGTTAGATTACAACACCGTTTGCAGCAGAGCCAATAGATTCACGAGAACTTTCAAACGATGTCTGGTCAAACAGGGGGATGATTGCGTGAAATATGAACATGCATCCGTGCTGGCAAGTGACGGACGTCCTGCCCTTTTCACAGTGGAGGCCACCGCCCCATATGACATTCTAAGAAGGGCAAGACCAAGGGTTCGCAGCGGCGAAAAGGTATAAATCCTCGTTGTTTTCTACACTTGTGACCGAAGTTTAGGATGTTGTCTTTTTCACGAATCTCTTGAGTACGTTGCTGCGTGTTTCCCGGTTGACTTCGAAGACATGGAATCTCCCCTCGATCAACGCTCTCTCACCTTGGACGACTCGTTTCCACGGCTCTTCGAGGACTCGTTTCTCAATGAAAACGAGCTCCATGAGCGAGAACGGGCTATTCAAGCCTCTACGCAACAAGCTCCACGGAAAAGGGCACGCGTTGACAGTTGTAAGCAATTCCACTGTTATTGTCAATGGCACCTACTAACGTAACAAAGTCAGTACCAACCCCGCCACGCCCGATGATGACTGCACAGCGCCAAACACGCCAGACACACACGTGAGGCACACAGAACTTTGGCCGGAAACGGACGTGGTAGTTAGGGCAACGGCGCAAGTTGGCGCCGTAACTGCGCTCGCGCAGAAAGTCGTGCGGGAGGTTGCAGAACATCAGTGGCCCGTCACCATTTGTATGGAATTTGACGGCAGCGACGAAACAGTGCTCATTACGCGTATCCCGCCTCAATATGAGCACGCTGTTCAGAAGATAACGAGCTTACTCAAGAGGTTCTGCCGAAATACCGAGAGGGCATGAAGAATGCACGCAATTACATTACCAGCTGTCTTTGAAGTTGTGCGCATAAAAGAAGGCGCATTAGAGTAGCTAGTAATAGCAAGACGTAATCTGGTTTCCCATGTGATCACCGAAAGGCTCGTCTTCGACGCGCCTTTGTGTTCTTACGTGCGATACAGTGACCATGTTCTTTCAGTTGTGTGGCCATAGTGCAGGATTGGCGAGATCCCGCCGCAGCAGCGACTGCTCGGATACAGGCTTGGAGTTACGATCCAGAGAAAATGGTCTATCGACAAAAGAGCAGATATGTGCGTCGAAGTAAAAGATGGTAGGATCGGAAAGTGGCTGCATTACATGAGTATAGAAGAATCTGCTTGCGCGGCCGTATAAGTTGAGGCTGCCTGCTGAGAGCCGACGACGCTCCTTTCCTATCATCAGTCTTCTTCCCACACCTTCATTCATTTTCAAGAGGAGACCTTGAGTGTACTGTTGAGAAGCCGTATCCCCGACAGTCAACATGAGAGTACAAAAAGGCACGGCGGTCGATGCGGCATGGTCGTCACGTCTTGACGTAACTAAAGTCATCTGCACCTTCGCGAGTGGCGGCCGAGTGTTCTATGGCGTAATCGCAGAGGTTCCTGATCCCCTGCTGTGGGATTGGCCAGACGGTCGTCAACTTCTATGGGTTTATGACGACGGAAATTCCGTCAAAGTATGGCAAGAATGTGTCGAGCGACCTCGGCCGAGCAATCCTGCCTGGGCGTCATGTCTTCAGTCTATTGTGGGCTGCTATGAAAGCGATGGCGGCAATGTTTCGTACGCCGTCAGGTGGGACGGTTACGCATGTCCCACGTGGGAAGCAGAGGAAGACATGTCAAGCTACAGCCACCTGCTGGCAGAGCACGATCAGGCCTGTAAGTGCAGGCAAAGGCCGTGAGTAGCGTGGCCAAACCGGACGACGAATAAAAGGGGCGAAGCCACCGGAAAGCGGACTCACCGCGTAACACATCGATTTTCAGCATAAATATGTACGCTCGAACCAAGAGAGCAAGCTTGTTTTGTTATGCAAAGCATATGACACACATCGATTGGCCGTGGATCGAGGTGACTTCCGCAGCTTCTCGCGGTTTCCGTGCAGTCGTACCCCCATGGTTGCGTCCCGCGCGCTAGGCGGTAGCATGGCCGTATAATGCAAAACAGGAGATAATGAGACGAGGTTCCGCTTTGTGGCGCAGTTGGTTGTTTTGAACTGCGCGTGACACGCAACTACAGGTTCACGAGATTAGCGTTAGGAACCATGTAGCTTGATCAGAGTCATTTCCATTTTATACTGTAAGAGAAAAGACGAAATGACAGACGCGGACCGGCCATAGTTACGCATGCTTTCTTAGGCTAGCTAACGATCCCTGACGGCGGGTTTGGACCCAGCCAGCTGCCATTGAGGGCGCTAGGGGAGCACCGGCATAGACCCATCGAATACGGAACATCTTCACCTGAGACGACACTCAATGGAATCTGGTCAAGCCGTAGCATAAGATAGAGGAGTGGATTCAATTCTAGTCACTATTGGCCCCGAAGGGAGCCTTCGTCAATCCAACACTCCGTACAGCGCCAGCCTCTACCACCGACCTAGCCTTTTTACGCCACGATGTATAAACGCAGTCACTCCCGTCAGCCAGTTGCAGTCGTCATTCCAAAAGTCAAAGCTAAAGCTACTATCAGACCTGTCACCACTGTCGATGCATTCGGATAACCTGGGTTTCGAAGACTTTGTTTCTCTCGTTGAATATCTGTATCCTTCAGTGAAGGGATTTCGTTTCTCAATCGAGAGACTTCGTCATACAGCATAGCAGCTTCGATCCTTAGGCTAGAGGCCTTGGCTTCTTGTCTGGTGGCTATCGCTTGCAGATCAGAAACTGCAGCCTTTAGGCAATCAGTTTCGTCTGTCATGTAGGAGGCTAGGACCTCCAAACTGGAAGTCATGTCTCTTATTTCAGAGGCTCCATCTTCCAGGTCCGAAGCTTCGTCTTTTTTGTTGAAGACTGCATCTTGCACTTCGGTCACGCGTTGTCTTGACATTCTCGTCTGTACAGAGTGTAAGCTGTTTTCAATGAGAGTGCCTCATGTGAATTACTTACTGATGCTGGCCTGGCTCCCGTGGGCTGCAAGCACGATGTCCAGGAATTTCAGTTGGGTGATTGCTGTTTTGATAGGTGGGCATTATATCGCAGGTTTGGCTAGTAGTGAAAGTCAAGAGTCTTTATACATGAGCCTTATTGGCTGTTAAGTAATCTGAAAAGACAAATCATTGAGGTTTGGTCCCGGCTTTCGAGATGTGATTTGAGGCTATGCTGATACCCCCGTCATAATATGATGCTAAGCATGACATTTCTCATGTTCCAACCCCTGGCCTGGTTTGAACATGCCCCTCTAGTGACTTTAATCTTGTTGTCTTCAGCATCGCCGGTATCTATCTATTACAACGCCAAATATCCTCGCCGCAACTACCGCAGCTTTTAGTGACAGGATTCAGACCTTGTTGCATGGCTAAACCTATGAAAAAGACGGACTGGAACCGAAAGTGCGTTTGGTGCTGACATAGCATACCGGGATAAGACCGAAATAGGTAGAATAGCGTACTGTTACTGTACACAATGGCTTGATGTATGTATCTGTGATAAAAACAGTGAGTTGGACCCCAGTATTTTGACGGGTACGACTGGCTACTCAACAATGCGTCCAATGTAAATGTCGTATTGTGAGTGCCGTTTCTATGCTTGATAAAAGACCGACCAGCTCAGTCCTAAGACTGAGGTACATGCAGACCTACACCAGACGAGCCTGAGTTCGAGCGGCAAATATGCCAACCCAGTTTGGACAGATTTGCTCGCTATATTTGTGTGACAACAGTCGCTCTTGGGTCGAGCTTTCGAATTGGCCTATCGCCTACTGCAGTTCTGGGCTTGCTGATATGGCTCTGCTGGGCAGGGGCATGCATGTGGACCGTCCAGAAAGAGCTTTCGGTCATACACGCCCCAGACCAAGGCGCCTCTTTTGGAGCGTACAGGGATCCGCCGACTCAGCGACGGCTTCGTCGCGAGCGCTCAACAGGAGCACAGTAACCACCAACTTTGACCCGGGGATTGGCTATTTAGTATTCGAACGTGACACAATGTCCAAAAACAGAAGTCTCACTTCCGGCTTGTCACCGGCCAATCGAAATGTCGTGTCAGTCTTCGACTTCCTTCGACGTCGTTAGCGACTGGGTTTCTTCCATGTCACCTCCCACCGGAAGCCCTCGACGTTCGGCAGTACCGTCAGAAGGGAAACATGCCACTGGCGATTGGCGACACGAAACAGCGCTGTCCATGCCCGGCCTCGCCAGGACACCTTGCCCCGCCAGGACACCTCGTCTTGCGCTTTCCTCCGAGGGACATGCGAATCGAATACGACCCCACATCACCAACAGCGACCAGCATTTGCAGTCTTCCGCTGGGGCCCATCAGACTGCGCACGTCGCGTTTTACGACGAGAAACGTCAACCAGGGCGTCCAGCAAGAACAGCAAGAGCAGAAATCAAACACAGTGCTTCTGATTACAACTACAACGGATGCGCCATCGGCGACGCGGACGAAATGACAGAGTGGGAAGACTCTATCGAAGCCAGTGAGGCTGTTGTGGAACATTTTCAGTTTGTCCGTCGTGTGGATTTGGATGGTACGGCAGCCGGTCGTTCTTTGATCACAATCATGTTAGAGCGGTCTGGACTTTGCACCAAGAACGAAGATGCAGCTGCAGGCGCGGCATAGGTAGAAGGGTCCTCGAAGTAATTATGTACAGTACCATACCCATTCGAGTCGGATTGGGCCTTGAAATAATTGTTTCGTTGGTATTCACGTTATCAACATGGTTGATCGGTCCTTTGGATACGATTCCACACGGACGGACTTTGTCTTACTCAAAAGGGAATGCTTTCGTACATACGCGCTCGTGCATACAAG